GCTCTGCTTCAATTTGTTTGTTGAAGTTTTCCATTGAATTTAATAATTTCCATTGAAGTTAATAACAGGATATATTGTCTATATATGTATCATATATGCATATATGTAATATGTATACATTATGTATGTACTATAATGTATACAGATTGTATACATTATTGTCTAGAGTAAGGAAGACAATATAGTGGTGGTAGAGGGGTAGACAGGAGGCTGATGGAATTTAAGACAGTTTAAAAATTATCCCACACAAATACAACCAACTGATTTTTGGCAATGCTTAAAACCATTCAACTGAAAAATATATTGTTTCACAAAATGGTGTTGAAAAATTATACATGCAAAACCAAACACATGTGCATGCACACACACACGCACTGGACCTCTACATAAACTTCAACCCTTATACAAAAACTAACTCAAAATTGATGCAGTGCTGGTGAAGTGCCGGTGATACTAGTGAAATGAGGTTGCTTATGTTTTGATTATTTCAAGGGTTGTTTAAGTATATTTTTCTCTCCACCTTATATATGTTTGAAATTTTACATGACTTAAAAGAGTCACACTTGTGATATTTCGACCTTAACAAACATAAATTCTTTGTCTATTTGACCATTTACCATGCTTCCTTTATAATTCACGATTCCCTGAAATCCTGGTTGTAATATTTCCTTTCACAAATACTTTTGATTTTATAAATTCTTCCACTTATGATCTATCTTTAATTTCTCCACATCAGTACTTTATGTATAAATAACAAATTAGGGATCATTATAAAAGTCAGGAGAGCACCTATAAACTGTAAAGGTCAAGAGAATACCTGTGAATCCATGGTCCAATAAAGACATTTATTAAAATCTCTAAAGAATACCTAACTAGTTAAAAAACATTTGATTATTTATTAGAGACAGCTTAAAAAAAAAGAACAAATCACAAGAGAGACAAAATGCTTGAAAGAATGGTAGAATAAGACATCCCTAAAAGAAATGTTATTGCCAGAGATACTTTTGGTTGTTTCCCAAAACGTTTGGCAAATATAATGGGTTAGTTCAATTAAATGGTGATTTGGGAGAGGACACATTCCCACAAGACAGAAAGAAATAATTTTTAAAGAGCACTATTTAATGCTTGGAAAGAAAAATATTGGTTAGAAAGGTATTTGCAACTCCTAATATTCAAGTAGTTTAAAATTTAATTTCAATAGAATGGCATTTAACATTCTAGAACCACATTTTCAAAAGAACATTTTAAAAACTCTGTATCAAAGAAAGAAATATTTCATTTGAGTCCATAAAGGTAAGAGTAAACTTTTTCATCAAAGTCTTATTTGCACTTTAGGTTGGTTTTCTGAGCTATTGTACCTTCAGTATCAAATATCAGAAAGTCTAAATATTTATAGAATATTAAGGGAATAATCTAATGAAGTTAAGTTAAAACTCTATTTCAGGCCACATCTATACTTTTTTTTGTTTGTTTTTCTGTGAAGGAATCAGTGAGACAAATGATGAAAAGCACTTAAAATGTCCTACTTTGAAAGGTAGCATTATTCATAATGTAACAAACTGATTCAAATAATTGGGGCAGTTTTGGAAAAAAATTCTGATATAGCGAAACTTAGTAAGGTGGTAGCTGGATATTTTAAAATTGTTTGTACCCTGCCATCAATGAAATAAATTATTATTTCTAAGGAAACACTGTCTTGAAATCTGAAACATTTAGGGCATTAAAAAATTATTGACGGGCGGCTGGGTCGCTCAGTCAGTCAAGCATCTGCCTTAGGCTCAGGTCATGATCCTGGAGTCCTGGGATGCAGCCCAGCATCTGGCTCCCCACTGAGTGGGGAGTCTGCTTCTCCCTCTCCCTCTGAACCCCACCCCATTCCCGCTCTTTCTTTCTCAAATAAATAAAATCTCTAAAAAATTGATATTAGATTTTTCTGATTAAAGAAATAATACAGACCAGAACTACAAATATAACTGTCTGTCTTTGTCCTCATCCAAGGGGATTTAGAGCTCTGAGGTCATTAGCCAGATAAAACAAATTTTCCTGTGTCCCTGAGTTAAAAAGTCTGATTGCAACAAAGTTGCATCTATTAAATGGACAAAAGAAACAAGTCTCTGTTTACCTTTCAGCTTGAAGGACTTTTGAGAAAGACTGAATGTAGTGTTAATTTCAGAGTAGTAACATGACCTCCTTTGCTCTCCTCTACACATAATGAAAGAACACATACATGCAATCAAATTATGCTTGTAATACAATCTCCTCTCCAATGCTCGGCATGGATTTAGTGGATTTAAAACACTGGAAACCATATTTTACTAATCATTAAGGTAAATATTTAGTTATGAAAATACTTAGAAAAAACCTCAGGTTGTGACTTTTCCAACCCCTGCTTCCTCCCACCCTCCATACCTCCCTTCCTTCTGTTCTCCCTTCTTTCTCCCTTCCAGATGAATTTCATCTGGTTCCTGATTCATTTATTCCCTAAGTGTCATTTGAGAAAATAAAATGTGCACAGCTTTATGGAAGATGTGGGTAATACCATCTTTGTATTGCAGAGCATTATAATTTCATTGGAAAATTTTGGAAATTAGACACAAAATCATTTAAATGTATAAAATCATTCATATATATGTATATTAAATATATAATCATGTAAGTAAAAGTTGTCAAACAGAATCTGAAATATATAGTGGAATTAGAATAGGGTTTACAGTCTGAGACTGTTGGATCTCTGCACTGATTCTTTATAACTCAGTTGTCTCCAATTTTATGGGTCATTAAAAAGTTGAAGATCTATTTATGAACCCTGCACAATATCTGATCAATATATAATATCTCCCAATATTAGAGTAAATCCACTTGTGAGTGGCATTATTGGAATAAACTGAAAAATTAACAAATTCCGAGAGAAAATGCCACATATTGTTATATTTAGGAAAGATTTTATGATATTACAATATTTAAGGAGGGAAATAGAAGTTGTGTAGACACTGATGATTCTAATTCCTACATTTCAAAAGTCTTTATTAATGTGCAACTCATTTGATATTTATAATGTATGTGGAATTTTAAAAAAATATTCATCATTACTTCTTATTCAGAACTTGCATCAAACCCCATTTGAGCAAATGAGTGACTTAGTGAGTTGTAGATTATTCATTTCCGATTTATTTTCCAATTATTTGTTAATTCTGCTTCGTTCTCTCTTTCCAAAGTGCTCACCTATTAGAACACTAGAGAAGACTAAAAAACAGGACTACGTGTGAGGTGAAAGAGAGAGATGAATATAAACATAGCATGAGAATAGCATATCCTACACCAACCGCTGGTGGAGTGTATAGTGTATGCCACTTAATAATGGGAGTTGTTACCCATTTATGAATCAAATGCATGCTGAGTGGTTTATGTACATTAAATACCAACGAACGATGTAGTGTACAAATATGGTATTCTATGGTCTCCTGGTTCTACCTGTTGTAGTAAAAGTAACTTGGACTTTGAGTTGCACAAGCCTGAATTCAAACCTCAATAATGCCATTTATTTATTGTGATCTTGGTTGATTCATATAACATTTTAAAGTTGAAGTTACCTTACAAGTAAAATGGTGACAGAATTTCAGCACCATTGTGAGGATTGAATAAGACAGTGCCTGTGAACACACCTACCACAGCATGGAATCCCTGCTCTAGGAGTTACATGCTTAAATGCAATCCTCAGATACTGTAATATGTGCACAGCCTTTACTGGGTACCATAGGAATGATGCCATCATACCAGAACTTTCCATTCTTTGAGTACTAGGTGAATCAAACATGGAATTCAGCAAAATGCCATTGGTATCACAGAAAAATTTGTAGGATGTACTTTAGGAGTTCATTAGAAAGAAAGAGTATGTGTAGGGAGACAATAGAACTCAAGAAGGAATTGGATGGTCTAGGAGAACCTGTTAAGGAACTAGGATTTTTGTGTAACTTATAGAATACTTTGGTAAAATAGGATGGAAATAGGCAAAATGAACATATGATCAGAGTAGGAAGGGCGGTCTTCAGCTTGGACCCTTTTAAAAAGAAAACCCTTTTGGATTTTTTTCCCTTTGGGACTTAAGTCTTGACTGAAAACAAGGCTATTCACCTCAGGAATTAACACTCAAATTCAATATTTGTAATTTGATAAATATCTCTTTCCTCATTGATAGCCAGTTTTGAATGACTTCTTTCAGTTGAAATAAACTGGCTATAATAACTATTATAAGACAAAAAAATCACAGAGCTCACCCAGGAAAATCACTTTCTTCAGCTTATTTCTTAAAATATAATGACATGATGTCACAAAAAATATTTGAGACAGCTTAAATCCAAATCATAATAAATACAAATATTTTTTAAAAATAAGAGATTTTATTTATTTATTTGACAGAGAATGAGAGAGAGCAAGTGAGCACAAGCCGGGGGAGCTACAGAGGCAGAGGGAGAAACAGACTCCCCACTGAGCAGAAAGCCCAAAGCTGGGTTTGATCCCAGGACTCTGGGATCATGACCTGAGCCAAAGGCAGATGCTTAACAGACCAAGCCACCCAGGTGACCCAATACAAATATTTTAAAAGAAATAACATAAGAGAGAAGAATTGATGGAAAAGGCCATTTTAAACAAAATTGTCAAATGGCTTGTTATAATTAATATTTTCATTATTTTTATCAACATGATTCCAATTAGACTTTGATATTCTTATCATTGAAGCTGATAACAAAACACAGCATTAGTCATCTCATTATCAGTAAAAGGAAAATATACCATTTTTCAGCAGACCTAATTCCTGATAGGAATGTTTTCTGATGGATAATATTCAGTGAAAGAATGAACATATTTTTAAAAATCATGCTTAACATCAAAAACAGATGTTTCCCTAGGACTCATTGCTAGTGACTTTGTCATTTTAAAACCACAGTGCACTTATTTTATAGTTGAGCAAACTGCAGCTCGGGCAGATAAAGTGACTTCACATGTTGAGTTTTTTATTTTCACAGATGCTACCCAGAGACCAAGCAGGAGACAATTTATCTTCCGTCGTGGAATTTGTCCTCCTGGGATTTTCTGACCTTCCAAACTTCCAGGGACTTCTATTTGGAATTTTCTTTCTCATCTACTTATTCATCTTAACAGGAAATGGTCTTCTCATAATAATTACAAGGGTGGACTCTGTTCTCCAGACACCCATGTATTTTTTTCTTGCAAATTTTTCCTCACTGGAAATTGGTTATGTGTCTGTCACCCTCCCTAGGATTCTGGTGAGCCTTTCTACTCAAGATAGAAACATTTCCTGGTTGGGCTGTGCCACTCAAATGTGCTTCTCCCATATGCTCGGAGCCGCTGAATGTTTCCTCCTGGTGGTGATGGCCTATGACCGCTACGTGGCCATATGTAACCCTTTGCACTACCCTCTAGTCATGAACCACAAGAAGTGCATCCAGTTGGCTGTTGGTGCCTGGCTCAGTGGAGTCCCAGTCCAGATAGGACAAACATGTCAGATTTTCTCTCTACATTTCTGTAATTCTAACGAAATTAACCATTTCTTCTGTGACATACCCCCCATCCTCAAGCTGGCCTGTGGGGACACTTTTATGCACGAGATAGCAGTCTACATAGTAGCTATGTTGTTTGTTGCAGTTCCTTTTATGTTGATACTTACCTCTTACAGCAAAATCATTTCCACCATCTTGACGTTGCCAACAGGCAGGGGATGGGCCAAAGCTTTCTCCACCTGTTCTTCCCACCTGCTGGTTGTTCTTTTATTCTTTGGATCGGCTACCATCACTTACTTAAGGCCCAAGTCCAATCAAACTGCAGCAATTGACAAACTGCTCTCTCTTTTCTACACCATAGTGACTCCGATGTTTAACCCCATGATATACAGTCTTAAGAACAAGGATGTGACTACAGCACTGAAAAGGCTATTACTTAAAAAGATAGTGTGATGAGTTTCATTGTAAATGCTTTACCTGTTTGCCACACATTTATCAGAGAAAAATTTCAAATTTCTACATTCCTCTTTAAGAAGTTGAAAATAGAGCTACCATACAACCCAGCAATTGCACTAACTGGGTATTTACCCCAAAGATACAAATGTAGGGATCCAAAGGGGTACGTGCACCCCAATGTTTATAGCAGCAATGTCCACAATAGCCAAACCATGGAAAAAACCAAGATGTCCATCAATAGATGAATGGATAAAGATGTGGTGTATATATATACAATGGAATATTATGCAACCATCAAAAGGAACGAGATCTTGCCATTTGCAACAACATGGATGGAACTGGAGGGTATTATGCTGAGCGAAATAAGTCAATCAGAGAAGGATTAGGAAGAATTAGGAATTCTTAATCTCAGTAAACAAACTGAGGGTGGCTGGAGTGGTGGGGGGTGGGAGGGATGGGGTGGCTGGGTGATAGACACTGGGGAGGGTATGTGCTATGGTGAGAGCTGTGAGTTGTGTGAGACTGTTGAATCACAGACCTGTACCTCTGAAACAAATAATACATTATATGTTAAAAAAAGAAGAAGAGAGCAGGAGGGGAAGAATGAAAGGGGGGGGAATCAGAGGGGGAGACGAACCATGAGAGACTATGGACTCTGAGAAACAAACTGAGGGTTCTAGAGGGGAGGGGGGTAGGAGATGGGTTAGCCTGGTGATGGGTATTAAAGAGGGCACGTACTGAATGGAGCACTGGCTGTTATATGCAAACAATGAATCATGGAACACTACATCAAAATGTATGGTGTAATGTAATGTATGATGATTAACATAAAATAATAAAAAAAGAAATTAACTGCTTCCAGCTTATGATGTACTTCTAAATACTTCTAAATACCAACCTACAATTTATTTTATTTGGATACATACCAGGCAAATTAATCTGTCTTCAGTGCTCCAAGCCTAAAGAATAATCCCACCCCATGAATAAAATAGTAATGCATACCACACATTTCATATGAAATTAGAATATAAATAAAATTCATATAAAATAGAACTTAGTCTGTTAAGATTTTTGACTTGATTATACTAAAAATATATGATTGTTTACCTAAATAATTTCCTAAATCTTCACACTGGTATTTGTTAACATTCTTTGATTCTATAGCCAGAGACTGGAAATAGCATTTAAATAACAAATGTTTTGTTGAATGACTGATTAAATAAATTAATGGGTAAATGAATATTGCTGTGATATGCCTCAGACTCCTGGCAAAATTGAGAGATTTCAGAGCACCAATAAATATTGAAAGCACATTTATTTAACCTACTATGCAGCCATATGGAATTACTCCAATCATAATACTGAAATAGTCTTATATTTACTTAGTTTTCTTCCTAATAACTTACTTCTATGTTTACCTTAAAATGTTGGCCCCAAAGTAATTTGCTTTGAATTATTTCACCTCTTCTTTAATGGCACTCCAAGCAGCTACTCCTATACCAATTCATATTTTGAAAATAAACTATCCATGAGTTTGAAAGTGAAGGAATGTGTTAGAAGTTATTTGCAGAATTACATGAAGTCCGCACAGTTGATTTGTGTTAGTGTGCTTAAACTTTCATGCCTTTAACCCTTTCTAAAGCGTCTGAAATTATTAAACCTTTGAACAGTTTTTATCAAGGAAAGAGAGCACCTGTCAACAGAACCACTAATTCCTATCTTCCCAGTTCCAGATTCTCAAGTCAGTCACTGGCATGAAGAGCTTACTTAGTGCTATCTGTCCCTGAGAACTTCTGTTAGCAGTTCTATGACAATTATGCTGTTTTGTAGTTTTAGCTATAAATGTACATATGCCTATAAGACAATATTAGCTCCTGTTCTTTAGATGGTTATATTTTACTTCATCAAGCCATTTACATCCTCTACCATCTAACATAATGTACCACATTTATTTATTTCTGTATTTTATCCATGGAAGTATATATGTTTATACCCCTTCTCATTAAATGTTTTATACAAGAATTTTATGTATGTCCATGATAAAGACCATGATGGTGATGATGATGATGGTGGTGATGAGAGTGATGATAAAGATGATGATTATGGTAAAGACAGTAGTGGTGGTGTTTTTTGTTTCTGAGATTTAGTAAAGCAGGAATCACGATGTCACAGAAACAGTGATATCCCAGGAGTTCAGATAAATTAATTTAAAACCTCTTTACCATTACCTTGAGCAATTCGTTCAGCTACTTTTTTTTATTATTACATTCTGTTAAAGAACAGATACTCAACTAAGTAAACCTTAGAGATCTGGTGCCTTTTTTCAGCAACTCATGAATCGGGGAGCATCCAATCCAACAGGTAGAAAAGAGCTCTGAAGAGCTATACAAGATAAGGGATTTTATAGGCAGAAAGAAGCAGGAACAAGGAAGTTATGGGGCAAAAAATTGAATTTGTTATTGCAAAGTTACTTTCCTCTTAGGGCATGGCAGGGATGTACCAGGCAGGTTACCTATGCTAACCAGGTAATTCTTGATTGAGTGGTTTTAGATTCCATTTTTTGGAAGAGCCAAAACTGGAGCTAAGTTTTGGTTTGGTGATGTGGGGCTTAGTATAAGTGATTCCATTTAGAGCCTGTTGTCTTGCCTTTAACAATTCACAATTAATAAAATGTCAAAACACACTATTTTCTATGAACTCCCAGGATTATTATAAGGGTCAATATCCACCTGGCATAGAGAGCATTTGGAAAAGTTTAAAGCACCAAAAATGGAAGTGTTGGCTGTATTTCAGTATAATTCTTAGTGGAATCTCTAGCTGTGTTATATTTTATACTCAAATTCATAGAGATAATCAATAGAGGGCTAGTTTTGATGAAAGGGAACATTGCACAGCATGAACTCTCTAGGGAAGAAAAACCTTCTTCTTTACACGTTGAGATTATTTTCCTTTTGCATTATATTATGTTTAGTTTTTCAAAAATGTGCTACTCAACTCTTTGCTCATATAAACAAGGATTATGGAACAGAGCTAAATATTCTTTAGTATTCAAATAAAATTTAATGGACATTTATATCATTACGAATTCAGTGCCAATTAACAACTGTAGAATTATGACTTCCTTTATACTTTAAAAAATTCCTTGAGACCTTTGTTTTTCTCTTTTTATATCTCTATCCCTCATTTTCCCAGTCTGCTAATTCACAATGAAGCAGCCTCTAGAAATCACTCCCTGGATTCATTTAATTATATATATTATTATCAGCTACTGTAATTGGGGCTGATTAAAAAGAAACTATGAGGGATGCCTGGGTGGCTCAGTCAGTTAAGTGTCTTCTTTCGGCTCAGGTCATGGTCTCAGGGTCCTGGGATTAAGGCCCACGTTGGGCTCCCTGCTCAGTGGGGAGTCTGCTTCTCCCTCTTTCTCTCTGCCCCCTCCCCCCCATTCCTGTGCTCTCTCTCTCTTTCTCTCCCTCAAATAAATAAATAAAATTAAAATTAAAATTAAAATTAAAAAGAAACCATGACATAGTTTATAAAAATGGTCATCTGACCTTACATATAATTCTTTGACTAGCCCATGTTTGCTAGTGAGGGCAGCACACATTTTTTGAAGTAGAGACCAAGAACTCATTCCTTTTTTTCTGATTTTTATATTATACCAGTCTTCTAGATAGTACCATTTACTGCCTTCTGGCCACCCAATACATGGGAAATGCAATACATGACTTGGTGTACCATTTGCTGAAGATGTATATTTTCTGTCATGTCAAAATAGCTGGGTCAATATATACATCAACAACAATATATATTTAATAAGAAAGGAAACATGCTCATTCCTGTCTAAATTCATTTTGGATGGGTGTTGTTATATGTGAAAGATTGCCTCTTCCCAAGTGATTGTATACATTGTTTCCTCAACAAAGTAACACCTTGGGCATAATGTTCCTCTGAAGAAAATACTTGTAAAACAAAAAAGCACAATTACCTCTAAGAATGTAGTAGTGATTATATTTTACAAAAGCTATTTTAAAAAAGCTTATTTTATCAAAGAATTTCATGACATGAAAAATATGTCTTTAGAGGATATATAAAAGATTTTAACACTTTGCTCACCATAGCACAGACCTGTACCTCTGAAACAAACAAACAAAAAGGGGGAGATGAACCGTGAGAGAGGATGGACTCTGAGAAACAAACTGAGGGTTCTAGAGGGGAGGGGGGTGGGGGGAATGGGTTAGCCTGGTGATGGGTATTAAAGAGGGCACGTTCCACATGGAGCACTGGGTGTTATATGCAAACAATGAATCATGGAACCCTACATCAAAAACTAATGATGTAATGTTTGGTGATTAACATAACATAATAATAAAAAAAAAGATTTTAACACTCTAAGTCACGAAGTAGTATGTGGCCTATTTTCTTTGGTGACCTCTAGAAGCTAAGCATGACCTTTGGCTGATAACCAGCAAAGCAAGAGGTCTTCAGTCCTGCAACCTCAGGGAACAGAACTCTCTCAATAATCTAATTGAGCAAGGAAATAGAATCTCCACCAGAGCTTCCAGAAGGAAGTGCAACCCTGCCCACACCTCGACTTTTGCTCATTGAGATCCGTGTTGGACCTATTACCTACAGTTCTGTAAGATAATAAACATGTGCTATTATTAGTCAATGTACTTGTGGTAATTTATGAAAATAGCAATAGGAAACGAATCCACAGATTCACAGAAACTGATGTGGGAGATGTTGTAGACTGGATCAGAACATACCGATCTAAATCTTCTATCTTACAATCAATTTAACTATAGAATTTGAGGATTTGAAATACTCCACTTCCTAGCCCCCCTTCCAGCTAAGTATGAGCAGACAACTCAATGCTGGTTGATGAGATGAATGTAGGTATCAGCAAGTGCTCTTTTGCTTCCATTTTCTTTTATTCCTGGAAGGTTGCAGAGGTCATATCTAAGAATAGAAAATCAGGAAGATGACAAAAATGT